TTTTTTTTTTTTGACTGTTTAGGGGGTTTCTGGCTTGTTATTTCGTATGTCGTGTAATTTTTAGAGGTGTGGAGGCGAAGCAGCCAAACTCCGCCATTAGGAAATGTGTCCGTGTTCAGCTTATTAAAAACGGAAAGAAAATTACCGCATTCGTGCCTAACGACGGTTGCTTAAATTTTATCGAGGTAATCGATATTTGGTTTTCTTGACTTATTGAAATTCTTTCTTAGTTTCCGCAACTTTTTTCGCGTGTATTTTTTTGTTACACGGTCCTGAAAAGTTTTAATTTTTTTAAAGTTACGGCGTTTTAGGAGAACGACGAAGTGTTGGTAGCAGGTTTTGGACGGAAAGGTCACGCCGTTGGTGATATTCCTGGCGTACGATTCAAAATTGTGAAGGTTGCTAATACTTCTTTGATTGCCTTATTTAAAGGGAAGAAGGAAAGACCGCGGTCATAAGTTCAGATTCATTTTCATCCCTTTGCAGTATGCGGTCAGGAGCAAACTGGGAGATTTTTTGTTACCGTTTGATTGTTATGCACCACCAATAAAGAATTGTTTTTTCGTTTTGCACTGTGATGTTTGGTTGGCCTATCATTGATCACTTTTGGTTTTTGGAGAATAAGCACTTCTGTAAGCTGAGCAAGGTAAGATGTGGTGAAGGAGGGGAATTGCTTTTTTAGCTGGTATTGTGGTAGAGCATTAGTGGTTGGGAATGACATTTTCTGTGTTGTTGTTTGTATTTTTCGTCAGAAGCGGGTTGGATTTGCGGGGGTTTGTCAGGGAAGAGGCAGGTGGGTTTGGGGGAAGGGCTCAGGGCTAGTTGGTTGGTTTTGGCAGTTTTTTGGAAGGAGTGGATGGGTTCTGTGGTTCGCTGTTATAAGTTGAATTTTTTTCGCAATTTTTTGCTTTGTTGAGGAGTTTGTGGTGCGGTAGCTAGTGCGTTGGAGGGGGGGATCCAGGAGGTTGAAGGGTGAAAAGTTGGGGTTTTGGGTTTAAATGGGAAGAAGGGGATTTCACATGGGGCGAGGTAGGTGTGGTTCTGACCGATTGGTGAGGTAACTGTTTCGTAATTTATAGAGGTTGAAGTTCCCAACTGTTGGTTGCTGGTGTTTTGGAAATATGGCGTAGAGAGACTAGGGGGCGGAAGCTGGGACGAGAGTAGCGTGGGGCTGTCTGTTCATCATTCCTCATTCCAGTTTTTCAGCTATTCGTTGTGTCAAAGGGGTCATTTTCGTTATGCAATGTCGTTGAAGAATTTCAGTTGGAGGTATATCGTTTTTCGGTAGTTGTCGTCTAGGTTTAGAAGTTTAGTGGATTGGAGGCTATTTAGTTTTTGTGAGCCCCGGTGAAGGTTCAGGTTTGTGCTTCTGTTAAATCAGCGTACGAATTTAACCACTGCAAACCGCATTAGGTCGAGGGAGCGCTGGAGAAATAATTGCGAATTTCTTGGTATTATTTTGCAAGTTTGAGCGCGGAGTAAGATTATAAGTTATCTTCTGCTATTTTTTAGCTTCCGCGTTATCGTCGACATCGATCATCTTTTTTTAACTACCTCAACAGACAGAACCACTAAATCGTACAAGAACCTTAATTTCTTAAATTATCAGTAATGAAGTAACTTAATTGACGGCGTGAGTCGGCATAGGATTGCTTTTGAACCACACAGCTAAATACATTTAGTCCACTTTCATTGGGTTACGGGAGAACAAAAAAATTTTAACTATTTATCGCTGGATAATGGCATCTGTGACTGGTGGGAGTAAAAGCCAAACTGGAGAACGAAGGATTAGATTTTTTTAGGCAACATCTGAACCAATGATTGCGACTGGAAAAAATTCATTTGCAGATGAAAGCTTTACGAATTGAAACAGATTAAAACTTATTCAAAAGATATACTCATAGAGCATCTTTGGATTACACTGAGAGTAGTTAAAGGTTACTTTGGTGAAAGCCGTAAACAGACGGGTTGTTCAATGGGAGTGTTGAAGCAGTTTTGCGTGTCACATGCGTAAAAAGCGATGCGCATGCAAAACTCGTTGTTGCACCGAGTAACAGTTAAGTTTGACAGGAATTTATGTGCATTATTGGCTTATTTTAGAAGCGGTTGGGTCGCATCAAGTTCTGATAACTTTCAGGTTTCTAAAAAATATTTTAAAGTTATTTTTTATGACTTTTTTTTGTCGATCAAATCAGCAATAATCAAACGGATATTGGCTGACTGTAATTGTTTTGGTTTTTTTTTTTTTTTTTTTTTTTTTTTTTTTTTTTTTTCAAATTTTTTTTTTTTTTTTTTTTTTTTTTTTTTTTTTTTTTAAGTTTTTTTTTTTTTTTTTTTTTTTTTTTTTTTTTTTTTTTGGTTTTTTTTTTTTTTTTTTTTTTTTTTTTTTTTTTTTTTGTTCATTTTTTTTTTTTTTTTTTTTTTTTTTTTTTTTTTTTGTTTGAAACATTTATTTATTTGTGCTGGACATTTGTGCTGTACAGACGGTAAAATGTTTGAAGGATATTTTTATGAACTCAGAATGTGCTCTGTAGGATGATCATCTAGACAAAAATTAGGAAGAAGCAAGAGTTTCAAATTTTTTCCCTTTTTTTCTATTGAATTCCATTAATTTCAAAAAGTTTACAGCTGTTTCGGTGAAGTTTTTGCGAATGCAAACACAAAACAAAATGAACTCTTCAAATGGTTAATAATAGTCTAGGTTTTTTCTTGTTGTTGAATTGTTGTTGGTGGTGGTGGTGATGACGATGATGATGATGATAATTTTCTAGACTTTTCTGATGAATCTGTTTCAAGGAATTCATGTCTAATCAAGAAAAATTTTGGTTCATTCAACAGTGATATAATAAAGTTGAAGGGAAAAAATGAGGAAATGTGAAAAG